TTTTTTTTTTTTTTTTTTTTTTTTTTTCCACTTGAAGTCGATGGAACAGAGGAAATCACGAAAACAGCTCATTTAAAGTGATCATTTCATGACTAGTCTGGCTCATTGTTTCTTTGGACTTGTTTTCAGTAGAAGATGATTCCGATCAAGTTTTCCCAAATCAAATCAACGTCTTGCCAAAGCCGCATATTACTTCTCGGATCGTCATAAAGGTTGAAGCTCATCTTTAAAAGTTTTTTTAATCCTTTACCTCACGTATTTTTTGTACTTCCGTTATCCGCAATAATAGCCTACCGTCACAAAGCAAAAATTTCAATGTTTTTTAATGTTTAGGTAAATGCGGAGAGGCAGGGTTCTCTTTTACCATCGTCTTCCCAGACAGCTTGCAGTTCGCCACCTGGTGATCCGCTTGTTTCATCAACTGAAACATTCAGTTCGCCAACCAGTTCAAGTCCACCTCAGACGATGCTGCCTACAAACGTCCCAGCTGTTGTTGCCAAAAAGGTTTATTTAATTCTCAGTTGTTTTAAGAAATGAAGTGATTGGAATGAAGTGGCTTTCTCAGAAGAAGTGCTTTTCTGAAATCGTATTTGCTGAAAATGGCTTTTTGTTTGTCATTCTAGCCGTTGGTAGAATACGACGAGAGCGATAGCGACGAGGACGATGAATCCAGCGTTTCAGAACCAGCTGCAGGATCAGATTCACTTCCTTCAAGTTCAAGCTCTGTCGGTCGACCTACCTCAAATCTGAGTAGCCAGTTATCCAGTGATGATCAAGACGATGTTAGCAGCACTTCCGGTGACCATGAACCCTCCCCGGTTTTTGTTGATGACACCAAAGAAGATCAAGTTAGCGTTTCTTGATATTGCCTTTTTGAGTATGCGCAGAGTGTTTGGATGCTGCAATTTGCACTTAAAACGTGAATAGCAGCCATTCTGTAAAATTGTTTATTTTGGAGCTGTGTAATTGCACTTAAAAGCGTAACTGTACAATGACTTCGTATAATTTTTTATTTTGAGACGCTAAGATTTACCCTGTTGCACCCGGTACACAGTTTATTTATACCCGGTCGTAAGAAGTAGGGTGCAGTCTAATATCCTCCATAAATATTCTCGTACAATAATTTTTTAGGAATTTACTACAGAAGATTTGGCCACGAAATTTTCACAGCACACGTCACGAAAAAGACCGTCAGAACCACCGTTTGGGGAAAAGATGGAAGAGGATTGGAACTTCCCTCCGGATGATTTTGACAGGAAACGTCTCAGGTTTGTTTGCAGTTAGCTTATAGAGTATGCAGAAAAACACTTGTGCAAATACCGCATATTTGCGTTTTACCATTAAAGGCACATTCGCTACCAGTGCAAGCTCAAGCTGTTGATTTTCAGATAGTTCTACCACGGAAACTAGTTTTTTCATATCCAGTTGCATCTTATATGCTGAATCTTGCACATGGGATTAATTTTTTCAGTTCATTATAGCTTTTTTACAGGATAACTGACAGTGAAGACGGCGCAGAACAAATTGTTACGCCTAGTGATAAATCTGCTTGACATGTTTGGCCCATTGAAGTTTAAAATTTGGACTTCAGGGTTTGTATTACCTCGTTGTGAGCTCACTTTTTTTTATGTCTTGCATCGTTTTCAAATTTTGAACCCGGTAGTCATAGGGTGACGTTTTGCGGTAAGTTCGGTTGAAATTAACAGTTCTTTGGTCATGTTACATTGTTGAAGCTCAGCTGACGCTTGCTGTTGAGAATTGTTCTTTTTTAATGATTTCTTCTGATCTCTTTTTTTGTATGACTTATTTTTGTGTCTTTTCATGTTTATCATCCGTCTGTTTGTTGCTTGTATATTATTTATGCTTATTTATCTTTTTATTATTACTTTATGTTTCTTTATTTTATTCATTACATGATCATCTTTTTTGCGCCGCAGTATATGTGTAATCGTCATATATATTTATCCGCATATTTGCTTCTTTTTTTTACATTTATGATTTCTGACATTATAGTTGAAAAATTGTTTTATAAATTGTGTCGATAGGAAGCTGTGACTTTGCTTTGAAGCGGTTGCCGCAGCAGTGGGGAAGTTTTTGTTTGAACCCGGTCAATACTGGTTTTTTTATTATTGGTTTTATTTTTTTATTACTGATTTTAAGTCTCTCTATGAGAAGTCAGCGCTCGTCACTTTACTGCCTTATTATTAGTTGATGTGCTGTTAGATTTTGTGAAGCAGCTTCTGTGCATGATTTTATTGGTTTTGTTTTTCGTTCAGTGAATGTTGGGGTAGACTACGCTTCCGCTGCTCTTTTCCTATTGGAGGCGTTATTCTCAACATATTTGTATCCCCTTCCGTCATTTGATTGTTCAGCAATTAAACTTACAATTTTAGCATCCAGAATCTCGCGAATTTCTCGAAACTCGGTTGTGTTTCTAGCTTGGCAGCAGTTTGCATTAAAATTACTGCATTATTTCGTAGAAATTTCCCTTTTCTAATAAATTACCTGTCCAGCGATTGACTTGACGATACATTCATATTATTCGGTTTTTATTTCAAACTCCTGTTTTTAGTTAATAAAAATAAAGTACAAGTTCGGTGCCGCCTACGACACAATTCGAGTCCGGCTGACAGTATTTACAGTGTTAGAAAACGAGCCGGTACAGGGAAGGCGAATTTGGCGTCTAATCAGTGGTGCATGGTGCTGCTTGTTAGTCGTATCAAATTTGGCGGACTGTATTTCGCTTGTTACAGTTCTTAGATCGTTGATTATTTCTCGACTGTAGCACAGCTTCAACTTCGTCTCGTTGGTTCCTTCAAAACCAAATTATGTAGCAAAGAAATGTGATTCGTTCTTGAAGTACTTCATGGCGGTTGTGCTTATTTGTCAGTTTTCCCGTTGGGAAGGGGGGCGTTGAGCAGGAATGGGAGCGGAGGGGCGATCATTCTTACGCTGTTTTGCGCGACGGTTCCGGAATAGTTGAGGTCGGGAAGGATAATTTGATTATCTGAAAAAAACAATTCAAACACCTTTATAGAAAGGAAGTGAGTCTCATTTGAAATGTAAGCTTGTTTCCCTGCCCTGCAGTGCCAAGGATGACTGTTTTTCTATCCCTATGGTCTACTTCCTGATCACTCATCGTGATTTAAAAGCATAAGGAGGTCGCTTGAGTGTTTGGATTTGCTAGTACATTTTATCCCTCGATAACGGTTTAAAGTGAAGGTGCATGTCGGGAAGTCAGGATCGTTTTGTGGTGACATCCTCTACCCTCCGAAATTTTCAACAGTTGTTTATCCTTTAGTGACCGATCTGTTGTCGCAGGCCAGGTGAATGGGGAGGGGAGGAGGTAGGAAGCATGAAGGGTAGTGGACCTGTTTTTCTTTATGTATTTCCTGTGGTGCGCCGTGTACATATACGTGTATGTATATACCGTTCCACATTTTAACCCGAGTTGGAACGCACCAGGCTTTCCGGTGCGATCATGCGTTTTTGTACTAAACTCGCAAATCGCTATTAGCAGGAATGATCCCTGCGTTGTAGCCTAACACTTGGGCAAGTTTTTCGAGTTAGCACAGTACCCAAGTTGCAAGTTTGACGTGGTCGTATGCGCTTCAAAAGCGTGTTCGACAGCTCAGTTTAAAATCTTTAGCTCGCACGCGCATAGAGAGTATCCGTGCAAAGTTTCAACTTTTTGCCTTGCCTGGTTCGCGAAATCGTTTCCCGTCAAAGAAATTTGCATATTTGGGGGGCGGGGGCTCACGCGAGGTCTAGGCGCGTGTGGGGAAATATCTTGAAAGGGGAGGGTGACACACGGGTAGGAACATATACCCAAAGTTTCAGCCTCTCAGCTTTCCTGGTTGCTGAGATGAAAGTGGGTG